GGGGGAGGACAATCCGTCATCTTCGACAAATGAGTACATGTCCATAAAATATAAAACAAGACCCAGGTGTTAGAATGTACCAACACCGACTTTAAGGAAGTTATAGTATTCACACTAAGAGGTGACTAACTATTGCATTGGGTCACGTAAATAAGATCAAAATACGTTTATATATGTGACGCACGAACTTAAAAGTCCGTTATACATTTTAATATTACTTCCCCGTGCTGCGCGAAGTAGTGAAGTGTCAACTAGACCTCCTCCTAGACACACACTTCGATCGTTCAAAAGAGTATTAGCCTATGCCACATATTGTTCTCCTTATTTGGGAAAGATTATTGTTTCCACAGAGCCATTAGGGTCAATTAATTTAAAGTGATTCCCTCCTAATTAATCTCATTCAAATTAGAAACATGCCTTATTTGGGTTTAGCGCTACGTTAAGAGCGTGAATATGGTAAAATTGGAAATATTATATCCAATCCTTTTAAAAGCGGAAACAATATAAAATAAATAAATCAATATAATGAGGAAATTATGCAAAACATTATCCAATTATAACAAATAAAAGATTAATTATTATCACTCTCATAAAAAACCAAAAACTTTAATTTCCGTACTTATTCAATCAATTTAATAGCATTTAAATGATGTAAATTAGAGCATGAAATCCTAATTTACATACTAAAAATCTTTTAAATTTGCCAAATTTCCAATCAAAAGGGAAAATATTTTACGAGCAACATATTTTGCTTTTGAATCCTCTAGTTACGTATTCCATATTATTTTCCTGATTTGGTTAATATATTTCACTAATGATATTCATTGAATCAGCCTAATGGGAAAATATTTGTGAAACTGGAACAAAAATAAACTCCTTTCAAAAAGCGAAACTCAGTTGTCATCCGATTTTTTTTCCCATATCAAAGTCCACTCAAAGGAAAAATTGTCTTCAAGAAAAGTTGATATTATACTAAAACAATTTTAAAATGGCATACTTTAACGGAGTGTACTAAAAGCCAATTTTGTACTACATCTTCACCACGAATTCTCTTTCAGGCTGGACTTAATTGAATAAGGAAAATTTTGAAAATGTGTGTCTACTATTTCTGCCCATTGAAGTCTGTGGGACACGTTATCGCGTTGTTCGTCATCGTATGTCTGCATGTCTGCTCGCCAGGATTGGGAGGTGCGGCCGTACAACTCTGTGTGCAGCGACCCTACAAACAGTGACCAATCATCAACCTCTGTTTAACCTAATCCCCCATCCTGATCATGAGTAGCTCCCTGCGTGTACACACTTTATCCGCGATATACGTCCTGAATAAACGTGCTCCGTGCTACACGTCTGTTTCCTTTATACCTGGGCTATAGCTTAACTGGTTCTGGGAGTCTAGCTAGATGTAGGAGGATCTGCCATAGAGATTTCTGAGTCAGTCAGGCTTTACTAGTGTAGCAATCCGCTACAAGTCTAATTAGCTCTGCCGCGTTCAGAATTCCTACATTTTTTCCACATGCCTGCTCATTTTTTTAAGCAGACACAATTGAATCATAGCAACAAAGTCAACCACTAATTTAAAACGAATTGTTCAGATGCTGGGAAAATCTCTGGAGTCAAATCATGGAAATTCGGAACTTTTATACTTCACCGCATCCAAAAAGCTTATTAAGAAGAAATATTAATACTTAGTATTAATACTTACAATTTGATTTAACGTTTTCTCGTTTCGGTAAATGAAAAACTTAATTTTACTTAATTTGAAAAGAGATATGACAAAATACATCACAGTGAATTATTTGACAAATAACCTTGTGTGACCTGATTAAAGAACATCTTCACTAAATTTGGGGACTTCTGAAACAGATTCACACTAAAGAAGGTTTCTCTTGGGCAGACAGTAGACATATTGAATAAATATGAAACTATCCGGAGTGCATTTTTTCCCTGATCACGGTAGAAGAGAATGACACATTGAAGCCAATTTAACTGCCCTTTGCTATCAATTTTTCACTAAATTTTAATAGCGTGGGGTCAGTGCTGAACGTAATTCTACGTGGTGTATCCTGGTCAACGTATGCTCATACGGCAAAGAAAGTCTATAAACCCACAGTTGACTTCTGACTTCCACTTACAGTGACCCGACTGTACGTCCTATTTGACCACTTTTACAGTACTCACCAACACCTTTCATCTACCTTTGTGTCTGTCTCTTCTACATCTTAAAAC